AACCGTTTAAAGAGACGCCGTCAGTTAATATGCCATTCACTACAATGTATAATGTAGCTGCCCTGATTTTGCATGGGTAGATAGAAAGATAAATTTTATAAAATATAACTTATTTTATTCACTATCGCGATCTTAATAAAACCAATAGATGCTAAAGCATATATTATATATATATATATATATATATATATATATATATATATATATATATATATATATATATATATATATATATATATATACATACCAAATTGGATGCGGTTTTTACAGTTATGTACTTGAAAATTTTACTTTAAATCTGGTATATGTTTTATCTTGATTCGCCATTTATAAATGATCTAATATCATTGTTTTTTCTACTTCTGAAAACCACGCGTACAAAGCGGACAGAAAGTTAAGTTATATATAAAAATATCTAGCCCCAACCATACCATAAGTTGTTGTATAGTGTAGATACTCGTATGTAGGTGATTTTTCTCACGCAATCATATTAGAGCAAACGTATTGAGAGCATTCATATTCGATTCCTATATACACAAATTCTAAAGATCTAGCTCTTGTTCTACATTCTGTTCTTTAATCTACCTACTATATTTTAACATCCAGTATCATATATTTGAAACGCTCAAATAAAAAAAATCTTATCAAATATCTCAGTCTTACTATAAGTCGCGGCTAGTGCTGGTCCTAACTTATTGCAATCGATTGTTATCGCTCTATAAATCACGGGCTTTCGTCAGGCTTCTACCTTCCACTGGTCACTAAAATGCCATATTCCAAGAATCGACACTGAGTTTCCGAGCTGGATTAAGGCTCGACCGGTATTAAATACCGTTGCTATTATTACGTTCAAAATCAGATTATCTGCGCCCTCGTGACCTAAACACTACCTAGATCGTATTCCGGGAAGCATTTCCACCTGAATACAGAATTAGACGGGTAAAGTTTCACCTCGCTCCGGGGCTCTCATTTTTTAGCGTCTATTTTATATTAAATTTGTATCCAGATGTTTTTATTGTTATCTCTAGCCCGCAGCTTGTTACATGCTACCGTTATATTAATAGCTGAAACGAATATAATAACATTATTATTATAATCTTTATTTCTCATTTATGTAGTTAGAAGTGGTTCATATATAATACATGTATTTAATAATAAAAATCTAAATCTCAATAAATGTAAAAATTTATCATTTAAGCTTATGTTACACAATTTATATAAAGTGGGTAGTTTAACCATTTGTAAACTAGTGCCCCCTACACTGTTCGTCTCTTTTTTTCCGCCGTATTAGTAATAATGCTATATCACGGTTAAATATAAATCCTTGCCTGTGGCAAGAAATGTAAACAATGAAAAGACAAGTTCATCCGTAAAAGTGCTAAAGTGCTAATCTACATTATTGTAAGTGATATGACTTGCATTTTTTTAGAACATAGTGTATGCATAATGTTAAGAAAAGTAGTTTGATAGAACTGTACGCATACATATCTGTACGAATATTAATACAATGTTCTGTCTATATATTCACGAATGATTGGTAAGCTTATATTTTCTATAATAGTCATCTTTACTTGGATTACAATTTGATTACCCATTAGCAGGGCTCTATCTAGATGGTCATTAGCCGTCTAGAATGACAAAAAGTTTATTGACAATTAATTATTAATTAATCAATGGCTTTTCACGGGTTCTTTACAGAAAATATAAAATAGTGTTACTACGAGGAGATTGTAGCTTTCGGTAAAATTGGTTAAGTAGTTTTTGAGTTAAATCGTAACAAACATAAAATCAATCATCTTTCTTCGTTATATATAAAATTTATTTACAAATTGATACACTACCTAAACTCAGGCGCCCGCGCCGATCGAATCACGACGACACGAAATTAATTTCGTTGCGCATTATTTTGATTTTGCTATATCTCCTAAGGTATTAACTTACTTTGCATGATGTAAAGGGAAAAAATAATTTTCATGAAATGCTTAAGCCAACTAACGTATTTAAAATGATAAGAATTAATACCGTATTTGTGTAAATAGCTTTCCAATTGCCGCTGTATAATTGTTCATTTTTTAAAGTACTAAAATGGAAATAGTATATAATCCTTAAGAGATAAACATGCCATTGTGGACTTTTCTGTAGACCTGTATAAGATACACAATTCCACCATACATTATTATGTTATATCCCAAAGGGTTTACGCAACGTTTTCGTTGAAAGCTCCCAGACGGCTTATTTTTTTTTCGACACCTTATACAAATATCGTTATATTTTAGCCATTATATACATAAAGTCAATAAATTATATAATCAAATCTTCTTCGAAAACCACTCTATCCATTGGTGAAAATAACATGAAAATTGGTGCATTAGTTTTTGAGTTCATCGCAAATGGACAGACAGAGGCGCGGTGGGGGACTTTGTTTTAAAATATGTAATGATAAATTGCTGTTATTTAGTCTCGCTAAAACTCAAAAACCGTTTGACCGATTTGAATATTTTTTTTTCTGTTTTTCGTTGTGATACAGAATTAAAAGAAAAAAAAAGTTGTAAAAACATTAAGGTTTAATTAAAACACTAAAAATTAAAAAGTTAAAATAAGTAATTTTGTATGGGATTTGCTACTTCGGATTACTTATGGATTATTACGAATTATGATGGCGTTGTAGGTGATATAAAGTTCATCTGGTCATACAGTTTTTTAATAGTAATAATTTTTTACAATATTGATGTGGAATAAACACAAATCATTATATTGATTTGTGTTTAATCGATTGATTGATTGATCGACGAAAATGAATATTTTATCGTTATATATACATAAAAAGTATAATTGACCGTTTTAAAGCATTTATTCAAATAGCTAATATATAGTTTTTGCCCGCGATTTCGTTCGCATGATCGGTATATGCTCACTGAGCGCGATAAAAAGTAGCCTATGTCATCCATTCCATATAGTACTTGTATGCTAAATTTCATAGTGATTGATTGAACCGTTTAGGCGTTAAGAGATAACAAATAAATACTTCCACATTTATAGTAAATAAAGGTAATATATAATGTCTATACGTCTATTACGAATCTCGACACGCTTTGCCACTTTATTCAGAGAGGCTTTCCTACCAAAAATCTTTAAAAACGATTAAACACCACTCTGTAGTAGCTAGCAAACAAAGGACCTTTTCCCAATGGATACCATTGTGAAATGTTGAATTCTTGAATAGGATCTCCCGCATTTCTTTCAAGTATGCAGTAATTTCCGAATTGCTTGACGTCGACAGATGAAAATCTTCTCCAAGGAGTGTTTTAGCTTTTAGTATAATAAAACGTTACATTAAGCGGTAAAGGCTTATATATAATTGGTTTTTACCAGCGACTTCATCTGCGTGACCGGAATATGTTTACTGACCAGGATAAGAAGTAGCCCATGATCTTTTACAGCCCATATAATATGTGTATACTGGATTTCATAACGATTTTTTAAGTTGTTAAGGCACTAAGAGGTAACAAACAAACTCACTTTCAAATTCGTAATAAATTATTAATTATTTTTTATTTTTTTATTTTAAGGGGTTTTGCCTCCTTCAGGCAAGAGTAAGATAGGGCTTATGGATAGGGCTTATATACATAAGCCCTATCTTACTCTTTTTTTTTCCGGTGGCTTTGAATCTTTCTTTGTGCATGCTTGTAAAACTGTAAAAAACAGAACAGATTTATAATAGACGAGAATTAATATTATCATTTAGATAAATTATTTTTTTTTAATTATTTGAACGTTTCATGTTTCTTAATTTCCAGTCTCTCCGTACTATTCTTAAGTAGTGACTTTGTTCCATGGAAAGGATTCGAGGACGGTAAAACTCACTAAGATTACCTCATTGTTATATGCAATCGATAAATAAAAATAAAGATACTATCAATGTTGTATCAAAACCTTTAAGTGGCGTTTAATATATGTCCATGCTATGTTTATTTTAGAAAAAAAAAAACTTTTATTTTAGATAAATAAAGTAATGTTGCAATGTCCAAGTACTGTCCAGTACCGCGCGCAGCTTACGCGCATGCCACCACTGGGCCGTCGCGTCGGGCGCTTCTCACCACTTAAAAACCAACGAATCTTGTCAATAAAAATATAATTTAAATTGGAATAATTAAAAATAAAATGACATTATGTAGGTATTCTATCTATCTATTTAAGAGCTGCGCTCTTGTCGGTGAAGCTCTTGCCACTCACTACGATTAACAGCGAGTCTCTTCACCTCTTGATACGACACGACACCAATTCCTTCCTTGATCTGCCTGATGTAACTATGTCTCGGTTTCCCTCTCCCCCTACTTCCTTCTATCTTACCCTCTATTATAATGTTCATAAGTTCGTCGTGTCGTATCAAGTGTCCCAACATTTTTCCCCTTCTGTCCTCAATAGTTCTGTAGGTAGGTAGGTATTATAATAAAAAAAAATAAAGAATCGACTGTTAGGCGGAACGAAGTTCGCCGGGTCAACTAGTCTGTATTATAATTGGAGTCGATTATTCACTACTCCTTGTACTCGTAGGTACAAAAAAATTAAATGAGAAGACATATATGGTATACAGTCCTCTCATTTTATCTAATCCTAATTAGTTAACGCTTGGTATGTGCTTACTTTTATCTTTGAGGGTAGTCGTAATTTTTTTATTTAATTAAATAATCGAGTTAATTATATGTGTATTGTGTTTTTTACTCGTATATGTATTTTATTTTCCTTATCTGTGATATATAATTAAATACCTTTATAATAATTTTGTATGTTAGCATACTGGGTTTATAACATTGACTTGGCTTTTGCTGTCTTTTAATTATTTTTAATGAATAAAATAAATAAATGAATAATGGAATTTATCATAATAATTCATATATTCAAAAATTATTTATACGAGATTTTTTTGCAAACAAATGATGACATTCCATTGATGAGGTACAATGAAACAGATGTACTGAAACTGTCCGTTGTTCCAACAGTGTTTTATCCGGCGATAGCATGGACGACATCGAATTGAAAAATATTCAGCTGCAATTCCCAAGCTCTCAACGCTTCAACGGTGATGGCGGCTGCACGGAGGTGCGCGTACGCACCGACCACGGCGACATCATGGTCGCTGTGCAGGGTGACCGCGCCAAACCGGCCATACTGACCTACCATGACCTTGGAGTGAATTGTGAGTACTATTTTTTAATTAATTAAAATATTATAAAAGGCGAATTTCACACTCTCACGCAATTACATACATAAGTTGAAATTTGAAAAATGTGTAACTGTTATAAATTCTTAAGTGGTCTATCACATGACTTTATGACTAAAATAAAACCAAACACTTACCTTTGCCTGCATCGTGCAATTATGTTTGCATTTCAAATATGTTTCAGTATGTAACTACTTACATAACTTCAAATTGCTCACGAGTACACGGATATCCTTTTGTAAAATTATTGTAATAGAAACAAATGCATAACTTTAAATACATATTTGGAACATTTGTGTGCATACCGTTATTTGTTCCATAAACTAGTTTACTAAAATTTTATAACTTGGTACACTACCATTATAAAAAAAAAAGTATAGGTTTGTTCATGGCTATACAGCTGGACAAATTTTGATGCAATTTGAAAAATAATGATAATTAATTTACTAATAAGAATTTCTAGTACAAAAAAAATATTATTTTTACTATTATTCGTAAAGTTACATAGTTTTTAATCAGTTTGAGTTTCCTGTTTATCCTTAATTGAATGATCAAGCACTTTTGCTGTAGTTAAGGATCCCGAACGGATTCCAACTGTATTTCAACTTACATTTGATATAGATAGTTAAAGTAATCAGCCCAGAGCATAATAGGGCCTCGCATTAGAAAATCAAACTGCTAACAAACTCTATATATGTAACAAGTTAACGAAAATTTAATGAACTAATACGAAGTAATAATGAACGAAACTCACTAGTCACTCCAAACGTGTTATTGTTAATAGTAATTAGTATTATTACTAATAATAGATTAACGGGAATTTAATAAACTCATGATTTAAATTAGTGCTAGGAAATTCCTTTTTTTATTTTTCATAAATCACTCAAAACGTATTAATTACTAGCGATCCGACCCGGCTTTGCACGAATAGACGGAATTTTCGAATATCAAGATATATAATAAAAAAGTTACAACCAATACAATTTATCGTTTATTTTAGCATTTTATATGTGATCTTTTAGATGATATACCTTTTTTATTTATTTAACCGATTGAAATAAAACGAAAACTAAATGTTACCTGGTGTAAACCGCTACGCATTAGTGAAAACTGCATTAAAATCGGTTAAGTTGTTTCTGAGATTAATGTGCACAAATGTACAGACAAACAGATATACAGACAAACAAACAAAAATTCTTTTTACTTTTTTAGATCGTTTTTTTATTCTTTTTAATTGATTTTACTATTTGAATAAAGATATTACTTTAAATTTTAAATAAAATTATAAAATTAAATCTCAAACAGGATTCCTATGCAAGTGTGTAAATAGTGTTTTTACAAAACTATTACAATTTCTGCATCGAAGCTGAAAAAAATTGCATTGATATGGGGCAACGACATCATTTGACATAAGAAGAAATGATGAAAGCTGTCGGAATGTTGCAAGCTGATTCCAGGCAGCGTACTGTGGCTGTCGCTCTTGGCACTACACAGACCGTCATAAGGCCTCTGGACACGCTATCGTATCACAGGCAGCGATACAACTCCAGAACCTACTCTGTGGAATTGTAAACATGACCGCCATGATGTTGACTACGAGAACCCACATTTCTTCAGGCATACGAATAAACAATCAAACCATCCGAAATCATTTACGTGAAGTGAGTCTACGCTCCAGAAGGCCGCCGAGTTCCACCTATAGCACCCTGCAATCGTAGGGCTCGTTCACAATGGGTTCGCAAACACAAAAATTGAGAGGAAAAAGACTGTTTGCTTTTCTGATGAATCTCATTTCGGTATGAGGTCGTATACAAGACGTACCTGAATTTGAGAGACCTCTGAGGGCCTACCATGAAATGTTTTCCGAAATTTCGGATCCGAACGAAACAAAAATTTGATATTAAAATTACATAATACGTACCGTTTAAAAATATTAAAAATGCTAAAATATCGTTCCTTTGAACTTTTATGGGAGGAACGAAACGTTAAGCTCTATTTAGAGGGTCGATTTCGTTACGAACAAAAACACGAAACTGAGCCCGAAAATTCGGATTTTCATTTCATGGTAGACCCCCTGGACATCAAGAATGTTCGAAATTTTGTCAGGAAATTCATTCATATGGTGGAGAACAATAATGATTTGGACCAGTATTTGGATCGGTGGAAGAACCAATCTCATTTTGATCAGGGACAACTTCAATGCTCAGATTTATGCGAAGAGGATTGTTTCAGAATTGATCATCCCTTTACTAAACTGATTTGGCGATTCTTTGCGACTAATGTACGACAATGCACTAACATATACATTGAGTCGTATCACGTACTCTTGCCGATACTCACATCAACGTTCTGCCATGGTCTGCTCTATCGCTAGAACTCAACCCAATTGAGCACGCATGGGATATGCTCCAAAGAAGAGCTCTGCTGAGTATGGATGTTGTATATACCGCACAATAACTTTTGCCTTGTGAGAAAGAACGTGGGCTGCCATACCTCAAGCAATTTAAATGAACTGATTTTAAGGACATCAAATTGGTGTGATAAACTGACAAATTAATTTTTTTTTTGTTTTGTTTTGTAAATGCAATTCGTTGTCAATAAAGCTTTTCTTTCTTTCTTTTGTTCTGTCTTTATGTAATTCGTGTAAATGGTGTAAACACGGATTATGATTATTTTTTTATTTTTACGATAACAATTAAAAAAAATTGCTTTTTTTTTGCTCTTTTTTTGCCGTGTCATTAATTTACCACAATTCGCACAAATAGCAATTTTTCCATAATGTACGAATAAGTTGTTAACTTAAGTTATTAAAAGTTAACACTTCTAATATAGCAATTCAAATAAGTAGTTATGCCCGTGATTTATGTTTTAAAAAGGACCTTTATTGAAGGCTGATAGCTTATTAATATTATCCAAATCTTATTCTTGTACTTTATAATACACCAATGTGTGCTAGCCCTTACTTGTCTCAAGACTTCGATCGAAAACTTTGTTTAAATTAATTAGTTTCGATGCCGCCGCGCTTTAATAAATTAAGCAAACATGTGTGTATTTGTCGTTATGTTGATGATTACTTTATAACGAGTTTTGTCCGACCCCTGCGAAAGAGGATTACAGTTTTAGTAACCCAATTTAGTAATCATGAATAGTAACGCTCGAGAGGCGCAGCCACTAGAGACATTATCGTCCACTGCATCCTGCAACTTCACCCGCACGAATCATTATAAAGTATTCTCTATTTTAATTTAGGATATAATCTATATGTGTACAAAATTTCAATTAAATTCATTCTGTAGTTTTGCGTAAGAGAATAACAAACATACGTGCCTACATTCTAATAAATTTTACAATTATAAGTAGGACGTTTGTACACTGTGGCGCCAAAAGTTCACAAGTATAACGCTATTCATTCCTGTAAATGACGGTTACCATCAAGCATAGCTCATCGTGAAACAGCGTAAATAGCACTGGCCCCACATGGCGTAGAAGTACCACGTCCAAATTTCTAAATTTTTTATTTGTCTATGTTAACGTTTCCTCTAGCTCTCGAATTTTTTATCATATTTTAACATTAAAAGCAACTCCTTGATCTGGCATTCAGTTTACCTTTTATATTGATTTCATCCACATTTTCATTAAATATTAATATTCAATCATAAAGCACCCAAGGACGTTTTACAATATTCCAATTTATTTGTTGCTTTCCCCGTGTAATATCTGTCTACAATGGCCTTCTTTCGGTCCAGCGGCCGCTGGGAAATCTCTGCTTCAACTTTGTGTGTTTTATATAATACTAATTATTACCCGCGACTTCATCCGCATAACAGGTTTATAGGATGGGATAACACGTAGGTTATGTGTCTGTGTCAAATATTACCGGTTTGTAAAATTACATTGCGATTGATTGAGTTCTTAAGGCATCAAGAGTTGATTGTTACAATAAAAGAAACTTATTTTCACGCTTATAATATTAGTAGGGATTTCATTGAAACAAAAGTAAGATGATAAAACGAGACCGCCAAAGTAATTATCACATTTTAACAACAGTTGAATATGATCAGTCCTAGATAGTAAGTTTGTACGGGAACTTTCTTGTAATTAATTGGGTCATTGTGTGTGAGATTGTTATTAGTTTAGTTAACCTATAATCTATTTTTTGTATTTAGAATAATTAGTAAACAATCCGGGCTAGTCCTTTAATTAAAATAATAAAAATAATGATTTCTCTTTGTGTTCAATCACGCACGGGCAAACAGTTTGCTAACCGTTTCATGAATCATTTATTGTTAACCATCTCGATGTAACCTTACTAATATTATAAATGTGAGTGAGTTTGTTTGTTACTTTATAGTACCTTAAAGGCTTAACCAATCACTATGAAATTTAGTATACGAGTACTATACCGGATGGAGAAGGTAATTTACATTTTATCTCGGTCAGTGAACATAACTCACACGAACTAAATTGCGATTAAAAGCTATTATTATATAAGACATTCTAATGTAAATTCATTTTGTCTATTATAACTTTATTAAGTTATATTTTTATTAAATCTTGTATTTTTTTCATGCGCTTTGGAAAAAGTTACTCAGTTCATGTACATTGCCGTTGATTTTAAAATTTTTAAACATAGAGTAAATTATCTTCTCTGTGGTAGATACCAGTAATTGAAACTAACAATTTAACCAACTGTTGAAAGAGGTTACTATCAAAAAATAGTTTACAAACTAAATATTAAAATTAGTAGCTGAATAAGTGATTAGTAATTGTTTATTATTCAACAGTTCCATCGAATAATAATATAATATTTTACAAACGACCACGTTCTTATATATATTATTTTGGAAATTCTATATTACCTATTGCCCTATACTCGTCTTAAATTACTCCGTGCCTCCTTCAAACCCATTCAATACTTACAAAATATCAAATTTGTTTACTACGTATCGGTAACTGGAAACAATTTACCGTAATAT